GAAACACGTCACAAAAACACGCTGTATTGCCCTCTCTCTGAAAGCCCGTCAGTGACATGAAGAGACCTCGTTTCAGATACTTAAAAGGATAAAAAAGAGGAGAAAAAACAATAAAAAGAGATATCATAAAAACGTCCTCTTTGGAGATTTAGTAAAAGAAAAAAAGAGAAAAAAGTAGGTTTCCTTTTTGCCTCATAACCAACCCTGTCAAAACAAAGCACATGTCCAGTTGAGTTGATCTGTATTACTTTATTTTTTGTCCACTATTTTATACAACAAATGTTCCCTACGCATTTAAAGTGCCCTTATTATTACGCCAGAATTCACCAAGGACTTCTCTTCAACTAGGAAAGACAACTACAGCCAATTTTGAAAGTTTAAATACGTTCTGTAAATAAACTGTAATATGTTTGTATCACATTCTCATTTCCACATTTTGAATCAAGCAAGACCATCACCTGGACCCTTGACACGTAGGAAATTACGTTCCTGGACATTTACAACTAAGAAAAAAAAAATAATAATAGCGTTTTCTATACGTGCAATGAAAGTTAATCCTATATTTAAGTTAAATCCAGATCTCAAGTTGCAAAGGCAGCGTCCAGGATCAACTTTGAATACACCTCAGGACCAGAAATAACTTTTAAGCTCAAATATCAATCCTGGACATGCGCAGAACGAGCTAGTTAATCCCACCAATCATGTATTGATAAGTAATAACAACGTCATCATCATCGAAAACACGAGGTTGAGTTGCCATTCTTTTATTCACAGGAATAACGAAGGAAGTTTTGGTATTTTCACGATAAAATTAATCGATATGTATTCTAATACGTTGTGGGATATTTAAACTGAAGATTTAACAGTCAACAGTGACATTAAAATAGAGAAGAAAATTCCACAGAGAATTCCAGAGACTGCAGACGCAGAAAAGGCAACATTATTTCCAGGTTGGGTAAACATTCCCACCCTATTCAATATTTTAATGGAATAAATGTGAAAACTTTGGATAACTTCACTATTAGGTTTCAAATTCAAATTGCAAACTTTCTGATTCTTTAAACCATAGATAACTGCAAAACCGCGTGGAAATTTGTTATCAGAATCCTCGCTGCAACATCCTGAAAAAGCTTCGATCACAGGACGAACTGTCAGAGAAAACCCGAATATGATTAATGTTCCAAATATCATAGGTTTGTTTGTCACCTCTTCTTAAACTGCCTTTCATTTTCAAAGAATAATTGAAGCCTGTTTTATATCTTATTTGTACTGACACAGTTATAATTATGTTCATGATATGATGTTGCCTTATATCAGGGTTCCCATTATTACGGCAAATTATACGAATGTTATAATAAGGCCACGATTTCGGCATTGATTGGGGCTAGTAATCAGCTATTACTTGTATGTCATTATGTAAGAACTTATTTTACAAATCGTAATGCAAGTAATATATATCCATATTCAAGTGACGTGCAGACATTGCAGTGGTTAATAAATAAGTTACTGACATCTTAAACCGAAGTCTAGGTTCTATGCGGTAATGGCCGTATATGGGAATATTTTTTTCTCTTTCTGCAGCAAAGGCCTCGCTATCAACATTACCGTGAAATATGAAAGTTATAGTGAGGTAACTGCCAATCATTAACGCACAAATACCAGCTCTTTCGCGTAAAACTGAGAATTTACCAATGACCACAATTCTTCGTACGCCTGGCAGGTGTGTCTTGCCTCTTCGCCGAAAGGACCACAATTTTTCATGTAACTTGAAAATTTACTAATGATCGCAATGTTTCGTACGCCTGGCAGGTGTGTCTTGCCTCTTCGCCGAAAGTACCTGTGGATTTGGATTAAACTTTCATACGGTAATGATTTTATTGACCCGTGCAGAAGACGCCTTAAGCAGTATTTGTCTATCTAGCTCGGTAGTAGTAAGTTAGAGTAAATAGGCTCTGCACAGGATGTTAGTACACTATCAAATATGTGCAAAGAGTCATCTGGGAGACTTTGTCAATCTCAGAGCACTCCTGTTGACTATGCAAGTCATCTAATTCCCATAGCTTTGATTATTATCTCGGTTTACGATACAAAGCTTGTCTGTCACTATAAAAGAGCGATGTATAAAAAAAAGAAAAAAAAAAGTTTATGCCGGCCTTGAATGACAGCTATATATGCAAAAAATAAAAGTCTTTATGGCATGTAGAAGTTGACATTTGCTCTCGTTATTAATGATCACGAACACTTAGGACAGTGTTTGTGCAGAGTTCCCATCCTTCCCCTGTCTCTTCGTTCATCGAATGGATATCTGATACTGATTCTCAATCGATCTGATTGATGGCTCCCTCTTTCGCCCTGTCGGTCGATCTCTCTTCTCTCACGTCTCTCCTCGAAGGCCTCATATCCATCGTCGTCTGTCTCATGATCGTCTCTCGGTCTCTTTGTCTTTCTCACTCATCGTCGTCTTCCTCTCTGTTTCATATCTGTCCTTCAGCGAATATCT